GTCATTGCTACCCAGAATTTTTGTGGGTTCTGGGAACCCAAACTCTCAAATGCTTCTATTTGCTGAGCAGGTACTGCATCTCTTTAGTTTGCTTGTTTGTTTGACTTGTGTTTATTATTTAAGCATGAAAGTTATCAAGAATAGACACTGGATTTCTTCAACAAATTTCTTTCTAAACACACAGCTCTTTTGTGTTTTAAAGCACTTGCTTCCTCTTAAAAATATTTCATGATATGGCTATGTCTACACCATGAAATGTTTGTGTTATAATTATGTTTTCTTTATTTACATTTCATACCTAAGATATTACCAAGAAGTATTTTCTATCCTAGTCTTACTAAATGCTTCCTCCACATCATCTTGACTAGGTGATGCACTAACAGTGTCGGAGATTTTAATTTTTATTTATTTTTGCTGTGTGTGTATGTGTGTGTGCGTGTGTGTGTGTGTGTGTGTGTGTGAGAGAGAGAGAGAGAGAGAGAGAGAGAGAGAGAGAGAGACAGAGAGAGAGAGACAGACAGAGACAGGGAGAGAGAGAGCTGCTGTAGCTTAGAACTCCCTAGGTTACAGGTATTGCTGGCTCAGAAAATTTATGATCCTCCTGTCTCAAGTTCCTGAGTCTTGGGGTTAAAGGTCACCATGCCCAGCTGTTCTAAATATTTTAAATAAGTTACTTGTGATCTTTATAGAGAAGATGGATGTTCTTTATAATAATATGCATAGAATAATAAAATATGCATAATAACATAATTAAATTTTACTCTTCTAAGAGAAAACTGAGGGTTGATAATGGTTAAGGAACTTACCCAATGTCACACAGGTGCTAAAGAGTACCATGAACAACATTCCTGGCTGCTCTAAAATTAAACTGGACATTTTGTCTACTCTATTAATACCTGGAAATCCTCTTTACACAGACCAGCACATCTCCACAGCTACAGATGCTAAATTTAAATTGGAAAATTAAGTAATGTGGGACATTTTTTGTTTTGACTGTGATTAAAAATTCCAAGTTAGATCTTACAGATTAATAAAATAGTTAATTTCTTTTGGAACTGCAATAGAATTTTTCACAGTAACTTAAACTCATCTGCCCTTTTGATCACCAATTGAATGTTTTCCATTTCCTAATCTGCACCAGTCACTAAATGTCATAAATAAAATCAGACCAAAACAGACCAAAAAACAGAGCCTGCCTTCACAAACAGCACTGAGTCCAGAGCGGGAGAAATGTGGCTCTCAGGACAGTTCAAGTCTGCTGGTGCTTGGTACTACTGTGATCTAAACACAGCTTTTGCATTTCTAAATGGTTGAAACAAATGGTGAGAAGCAGTTCACAGCACAAGGAAGACAGAGGACATCTCAGTGTCTGCAGCCATAAGCGAGTACAAGATTGTATTAAAACAGGGCAGAGACCATCTCACTATAGCCCAAGGACTTCTGTCATAGTCACATGTTAGAGAGTTGCTGCAGAGACCCTGCGGTCCCCAGAGCCAAAAACCACATACACTACCTAGCATTTTATTCTTTTGTGACCAGATGGAAGGACTAAAGGAGCAGACGTGAACTAATAGTGCTATGTGACAATTTCTCAGAAGCAAAAGACACAAGTGTTCCTCAAGATTTTTAGCCTCACAAAACCAGGACATTGTGTGTTTTCACAGAACTTAAGAACATCTCCTATGCCACATTGTTTGAATACTTTAAAAAAGATTAGATAAAATTAGAACTACTTTGATAAAATCAAGTACAAATTCTTTTACAGAGTAAGAATAAGCACGTGCATACACCCACAAGTACATACACAGAGATACATATTTAAACAAACTCAGAGTGCATACTATAATGGATAGAAAAAGGAAGATCATGAATTTATAGCTTCATATCGCTTTCACGTCTGCTCAGTGTACTGCGACTTTCACGTTCTTAATCCTTTGAAGGGGTGATGGATGCACTTGGAAAGACTATTGACTAACTTTTAGGAAAAAGGCCAGAAGTATGCATTTTAATTTTTATTTTTTTAATGTGCTCTCTACATGGCTGTGTTGAAGAGCCACAAAACTCACATTTTTAATTTGTTTTGAAAATGCTGTCTCATTAGAGTAGCCCTGGTATTTTCCATCCAAGTGGTTATTGGCTTGAAGTCCTATGACTTCCAAGGATGCAGAAAAATACTTTTGATGCTATTTTAAAGATAACGTGTTCTCTTATTGCATCATTAGCAGCCAGTTTTTAAAGTGGAATTAGGCAAATTTATTAAGTTTACAACAGTGTAATATAATTGTTTTCCTTGGAAATTTGAATAAATTTTATTGTGTTATCAGTCCCTTGAGGGTTACTTAATTTCATATCCTTCCTTCTCAGGCCACATCTTGAGTAACCCCCCCCCAAAAAAAAAAAAACCATTAGGATAATCAACTGTCTGTATTGTCCATTTGTCCTGCTCTTGGAGTAGTTCTTTCTGATGAAATGCTGACATTTAGAGAAGATTATTGAAGACTTGCCAAATAACTCATTGGATTTTACTGCTTCCAATGATTAAGAAAAAAATAGTGTACCCAGCCATTTGGGTTTTAGTTCATTCCAAATGCACTCAAATTGATGACCAGAAATAACCATGACACATATTCTTATTTTACTGATATGATATTTTTATTTATATATCATAAATGTATATAAATGTATTTTATATGTACAAATTATTTATTTATTTATGTGGGGATATATGTATGTATGTATTTATATGATTTTTTACTACTGGTGGCTTAATACATATATTCAAGAACCTTGGAACATCTTTACATATGAGGAATTACTCTAAATCAAGTCAGACACTTCTATGAACTACTTTATTGCAATATTATGACCTGATTATCTTTAAGCATTTCATAAGTTACTTGATGATACATTTCTAAAGAATTGACTATGGTTTTGAACATGGGAATTAGGATGTATGTACTCTAACTCTCAGCACCCTACATTCGCCTTCATTACTTACCATGAGTTTGCATCTCAGGTTAAGTGGCCTACGCAAATCAACTACAACTCTTTACACAACAAGAGCCAATGTCTTACTAGAGAAGGCATCCTATGTTTAAAACTATGCTTATAGTACGGAAGAGTGTAGTGGTTTTCAATTTTTTATTTAATTTAAATTTTCTAGATGTATATTTGTGTATCAGCTTGTCTGTCTGTACACTGCCTGTGTACAGGAACACAGGGAAGTCAGAGATGGGAATCAGGTTCCTTGGAAATGGAGTTGCAGCCTGTTATGAGCCACTTAATCTGGTTCTAGAAACGGATGCTTCTCTGCCAGGTTTTCACGTGCTCCTGACCGCTGAACTCTCCTAGCCCTAAGTGCGCTGTTCTGATACACATGATGGTTCCAAAAATTATCTCACAATGCACTGCTATCTACATGTGCTAATGATCAGAGCAGTCCTAAGTTTGAGCATGTGTTAATGCAATTATCCTGACTGTTTTAACTCCACAGTTTCTTAAAGCCCAGAACTCTCTTTTTTAGGTGCAATCCACAGGCCACATCCATTGAGAGCACTACAGGAACCTCACTTCATAGCATGAGCGGAGCATGAGCGCGCACACCTCTCATCCACCCACACAGTGGGCAGAGACAGGAGGCCGGTGCAAGCTTGAGACCGACCTGTCTATATAGTGGATTTCAAGCTGGCCATGACTACGTAGCAAAAACCTCTCTGGAAAACAAGCAAATGAGTAAACAAACAAACAAACAAACAGAAAAATACAAGAGCAAGATACCAAAGGCTTACATATATACATATATATATATATGTATATATATATATGATTTTGTTTAATAACGAAAATATTAACGCACATGAAATAAAAGACTTCTGTGAAGTGATCATGGAGGAGATGGCAGTTTCTTTGAAACATGGAAAATGTGTCACAGTTGTTTGTGGGGTGGTTTTGCTGAAGGACAATAAAATCAAAAAAAGTACTGTTCTACCTGGTAACTGCCACATCCCTTTTCTTCGTCATCAAGTTTGACTGGTGGCTGTAGCTACTGAGAGTTTTGTATCCTTGAGAATAATGGCTAAGTTTACACCATTTGGTTGAAGTTGCCATTAAATATATAGCATGTGTGAGCCAAGATCAAGATATATATATATATATATATATATATATATATATATATATATATA